TGAACCGCTTGGCTGGCTCCCGCACTGTAAGAAACTGGGAATAACGTGTTCCTGTTCCCAGCCTCCCCCGGCTCGATGCCTCACAGGCACTGCTCGGCGTTCTTTCCCCATGATCTGCTCTTGCAGGAAGGGACCGGTCGCTCCCGCCATGGCTGTGCCCTTCGTCAGCCCTTCCCTGATGCCCATCGGCTTTGGGGACAGCTCCCAGGCCAGCGAGGAGGGGCCTCTGCCAGTGGGTGCCGGGGGATGGATGGGCTCTGCCTGTGCTTTGGGAGCAGCAGCTGGGGAGATTGCCCTTGTGCTGCCCCATGGGGTGGCTGGAGGAGTAAATGGGTGAATCTTGGTGATCTGATGCCAACAGGAAATTTCACAAAAACCTGCAAATCCAGCCCATTTTAGGCCACAGCTGGGACCCTCCTTGGCTTCAGATTTGGAATGTTTTGGGTGGGGAGAGGAGAACGTTGGTTGTTTCTTTTTGTGGTGGGAAACGCTTTGTTCAATGGGGAGTGATGGTGCAGTACCTCGGGTGAGGTGCTGCTGTGCTGGGCAGAGCTTTGGGTTGGAAAATGCCTTTGGAGCAAGCCCCAGAGAGGTGGGCAGGCCGGCACTTGGAGGAGCACTGCCCCACAGGTACATGGCTCTGCGCATCCTATGGAGGATGCTGATTTACACAGAAGCTCTTTAGCTTGTCCTCTGGGGCAGGACTTGCTCTGGATCAGCTTAAATTCATTTCCAGGCAGCCCTTTGCTTCAGCGGCCAGACAGCATTTGGTACCAGGACCAGCCTGGTGGTTCTGTTGGCGATCCACAGCATGTCTGTGCTCTTAGGAGGGATAGCTCAGGGACAGGACGATTTCCCATGAAGAAAGTGAAGTTGGGGGCCGGTGGTAGCTGGCTTGCATGCTCAGCAAGCCTGGGCTCGGGCAGGTTTGCTGTCTCGGCTCAGGTACTGTAGCTAGTCCCACCTCTACTTCTAGTGAGGGAACAGGAATTTGCTGTGAAACCGTCTGAAAACCTACGTTTCTTTGATTTTTAATCAGCTAGCTGTGTATGCAAGTGAGCTGATGGGGTAGTATTCTGACCCACCGGGAATGGGCTGCCAAGATCCATGGCTCTCAGACCCTGCGTGATTGGGCTTATCAAGCTTTCCTCTGCTTCCCCAGGTCATATCTGCGGCAAACGGGACCACCAATGACTGCAACTTGAACAGGACGGTGGCCATGACCCCCACCATGGACTCCCGGCTCTACATGCTTTCCCTCCTGCCTTTTGTGGTGCTGCTCACCTTCATCCAGAATCTCAAGGTTCTGTCCATCTTCTCCATGCTGGCCAACGTGGCCATGCTCGGCAGCCTCATCGTGATCTACCAGTACATCGTCAGGGTGCGTGTGTACGGCTCCTCTCTGTCATTTCTGTGATGTCCCCTGTTTTGGCAGGTGGAGGGAGCTCACCAGTGGCGTGTTTGCATGCTGTGGGGTGTTTGCACGCTGTGGGGTACTGCCCATTCCCAGGCCAGGTCTTCCCCACATCTGAACTCTGCATGGGGGTTTTTTTTCCAGGACATTCCAGATCCCAGTGACCTGCCTCTAGCAGCAGCTTGGAAGACATACCCTCTGTTTTTTGGCACTGCGATCTTTGCTTTCGAAGGCATCGGGGTGGTAAGTCTCAGCGTGTGGTGGCAGGGCCACCTGCACGGGAGGCTCAGCCCGTGCTGGGGCTTGCTGCAGCACCTGCTCTGCTCTGCAGCTGTATTTGCAGATGAACGTCTCTGACGGTAGCCCAAATTCTGGATGATGCTGTTAGCTTTAGTCTTCAGGCTATCTCCTGGGTCAAAGCCTGTGGCTTCTATCTGAGGCTGGAGGAGCACACGCTCCAAACCTCAGGAGGTTGGTTGCTGCTTTGAAGGTGGCTGTACCTGGCGCTAGACTGGGCTCTGCTGGGAATTGCACTGGCAGCTGCCTTTGGCTCCGCTGGCTGGCCTGTGGATGAGGAATTGTCCCGATTCTTGTTACCAGGCTGGATCCTGAACCTGCTTAAGTGGGAGGCCAAAAAACATGAGACAAAAAAAAAAGTGATTTCCCTTCAGTACCATTTGGCCCCAGCCTGCTGCAGGGCTGGATTTGCACGTGCCTCTCACCCGGGATGCTGTAAATAGACTGGCTGTGGCTGTGAAAAAAGCTGGGTGGGTGGGTGGAGAGTTTAATGGCTCACCAAGGTGTTGTGGGTTGTTTCTGGGATCTCCCTTCAAAGGAGGAAAAAAGGTTTTCATCTCTTAATATAAGCTGTGTAAACACAAGGCTGGAGAGGGCCAAAGCCATTGCAGGAGGAGCGTTTATCGCGTGCTCTGCCTGGGGCAGAGGGTTCTTGCTGGCAGTGAGGCACAAATGTTCTCTTCCTCACATGACTTGGAGGTAGGGAAGCAAATAAAAGCTTTTTTGGTCCTGCTTTCTCACGAGCCCTGCCGCTGTGTTTCTTCTTGAAATTCCGCCACCCAAGGACAGCTATAAAAATGTTTGCTGAAGTCCTTGTTGTGGTTTAATCCCAGTGGCAATAAGCTCCATGCAGCCGCTCGGTCACTCACCCTGGCAGGATGGGGGAGAGAATTGGAGGAGTAAAAGTGAGAAAACTTGTGGGTTGAGATAAAGAGAGTTTAATAGGTAAAGCAAAAGTACAAATAGTAACAGTAATAATAAAAAAAGAATATATAAAAGAAGTGGTGCACAGTGCAATTGCTCACCACTTGCCAATTAATGCTCTGCTGATCCTGAGCAGCAATCGCAGCCTCCTGGCCAGCTCTCCCCAGTTTATATTCTGAGCAGACACCACACGGTGGGCGAGGTCCCTCTGGCCAGCTCGGGTCAGCTGTCCTGGCTGTGCTCCCTCCCAGCGTCTTGTGCAGCTCCTCGCTGGCAGAGCGTGGGAAGCTGAAAAGTCAGTACCAGCACTACTTAACAACAGCTAAAGCATCAGTGCGTTGTCAGCATTATTCTCATAAATCCAAAACACAGCACTACACCAGCTACTAGGAAGAAAGTTAACTCTATCCCAGCTGAAACCAATCCGGGACAGTTCTTTATTTGAAAGCAAGTGTTAGTAGTGTAGACGTGAGGTACTTGGCCCTCTCCTTTTTTTTTTTTTCTTTTTTTTCTTTTTCTTGCCCTACCTGGTTGAAATCTGTCTGGACAAACTTGATAGGAAAGGAGAAAGTGTCTTGGTCTTTGCAGGGTCTGCTGGGGAAGGTAAAACAATGTGTCACGCTGGGCCTGTCCCAGCTGTTTTGGGGTGCAGAGTGTAATGCAGCCAAGGCATGGGGTGGATGGCATCACGCAGAGATGCCAGGCACCGACAGGCAACAGCTCCTGCCGAGGGGAGGGGGCCGGTCCCTTCGTTAAGGCAAGGACACGAGTGGCCCTGCTGGGGACTTGCCCTGCTGAGCGGGAAGGTCTCAAATGGGAGCACAGAGATCAGATCTCCAGTACAGTGGCTTTTTTGGCTGGGTTTTGCAGGCTCCATGTGTGCCCATCCTGTCCCCTGGCATGG